TTAATTAGCTCGCTTAGCCGAGACACGCACCATTGCGGCCGGTGTCTTGGCTGTGGCATGCGGCATTTGGCCGTTGCACAAATTGCCTTGACAGTTGCATAGTTGCCGCAAATGTTGCAAATGTCTCGAGCCTCTTATTCAATGAAAACTAAATTGTTTTTGATATGTTTTTAGCTCTCGCACAACCCCCCTCCCCTCCCCCCTCCTCTCTCAGGCTCGCGCCTCTGCTTAGTTTATTTCATTCAGTGCATTTGCAACTTATGAATAAAACATGAAGAGGGCGCGCGCGATTTAACCCATTTCCATTTATCTCGAATTTTCCTGCCATTTTCCTATGCCGCTCGACAGCGCCGCGCCATATAGATATAGACATAAACTCTGTACTATAAATAAATACACAACACTTGCCGCAGCTGAGGAAATTCTCGGCTGGCTTTCGATAAATTTATGTGGGACCTGTCCGATTTTCAGCTCAGTTTTGCCGCTGCAACAAGCTGCAAAAATCAACAGTCACATTTATTTCACTTGCGTCTTCTAACCTGGGGGCCACAACAACTGCCACGCCCCGTGCCGATTGAAGAGCCAAAATGGAAGTGGACCCAAGTACCAGAACTCACAGCTCCCATATAGACAGATATTCATATATATATATATATATATATATATGCACATATATATAGAGCCATAATGATGTTGGGATTTGATGTGTGCTCTTAACGAAGTGCCAGGCGTCGTTCTTTTTTACATTTCTATTTCCTTCATAATTCCAAAGTGAATACTCGTGCAATTTAAAAGGAAAGGAATATTGGTTTAGTTTTGAAAAGTTGTTGAAAGATTTCTAGCAATTGCTATATAATTGAAATCTTGGCAAGTGACATACTCTACGCTATGTATTTAAAGTTCCTTAGTAAGAATAATTAGTAGTAGTAAAAACTAAGTTAGAACCAAACATTATAGTTAAATCAATTTAAATTGCTTAAAGAAGAATGAGCAAAGGCTAATTGGGCTGAGTTCTCCTCGTTTGAAGCATATAAGACGTTGATATGCAAGTAGAACATATTTTAAAGCAACGCCCTCCTATGCGATTCTCATATATTCAAGTAAGCATTTGAGGGTTTTCATGAATTGCTTAGAAGTGTTATATTTACAGGTTTACATCTATGCTCAAGCAGACAATCTAATTTAACCCTTAGCCTTCTTTTTCTCTTCTCTTCTTTCTTCTTTCTTCTTTCTCTCTTCTCTTTTTCCCTCTCTCTCTCTCTCTGTCTCCCTTTCTTCTCCATGTCTATTGCTCTTTCCCTTCTTTCTCTTACTCCTTTATTTTTCTCCTTCTCTCTCTCTCTTCCTTCCTCTCTCTCGTTCTCCCCTCTTTCTCTCTCTCATCTTGTTTACCCATCTTTCCTGCACTTACTCTTACTAACTAGTTCTCTTTTCTTCTTTTTCAGGAAAATGAATATATTAAGGTCCGTATTCCTTCTACTAAAAGAAGACAACACAATAATCGTGAGTAGCTGATTTTCAGGTAAGTACATATTTCCATATATATTTATATATTAATAAGAATTTGTGTTACGGCAAATAAGAACCATGCAAAAACTCTAGGAGATAAACGTATTTTCTTCAAATATATATATATAATTCTATATATGCTAGAACTAAGAACAGATGAAATACCCTGTACATATTTAGGTATACAAAAAGTTGAAGAATTTAAAAGCATTTTCGCCAAATTTTATTTAATAGTTCCCCGAATTCTAAGTTAAATTTCTCATTCATGGCATAAACTTATATCAATATATTGTTTTGCCATCACAAATTATTTATAATCTTTTCGAATGAAGAATACAATTTAACAGAAACGTCTTTTCCAAAGGTGTTTGCAATTTGCAAAAAATTTAAATGCTTAAAAATAGAAAAATTAATGTGTCAAAACAAGAACTTAAGATGCGAGGCGAAAATACCTCTCTCCCACTTTTTATTTAAATTTCGCTTTTTGAAAAAAAGTTGATTTTTGTTGGCATAAACAAATGCGAATTGACGAATAAATGCCATATTCTAGCTTTTGGAAATGTTTAAACATGTTTCAGGTAAACTCACGTGAACATTTAAAGATTGTGCAAAGCCTTCAATTCTTGACCTTTGACAGCTTGAGTTTCCATAAAGCCCATTAGCCTGTCTCTTTCCACTGTTTTCTTGGCCATGAGTCTGAGTTTTCCTCAAAGAAATCAAATTCTTCCATAATTGAGGCCAATTTTAGTTGCTGTTTATAGACTTGAGCTCGTGGGGAGGGGGAAGGGGGGGGGGGGGGGGGGGGGGGTGCTGATTAGGCCAAGCTATTGCCAGGCTAATTAGCCTTAGAATGTTGTTGTTGTTTATTTTGGTATTTATTTATGTTAACGCCTTTTCCAATCATTAAGACGGCTCGCGAATGCGTGCAAGGCAAAGGTCAAACATAATTTGAATGAGCTGGAAAGAGGGGGGGGGGAGGGGGTTGGGTTGCTGATTATGTAAAATAACAAAACAACAAAAGGCCGTACAATTTCTTGTGGCAGATACTTTCTGGCAACAATTTGAGGGGCATTTGTTTAGCTGCAGGCCTGTCTTGCCCCGTCTCCCTCTTGCTCTCACTCTCGCCCTTCCACGTCGCCCTCCCTCGCCCCCTGCTGCTGCTGCTTGCCATGCTAGCCAAAGTTTCTGCCGTTGGCAACTGCCTCATTACGAAATGTCGCCAAGATTTGCGGCTTTAATAGACGCCGTTAAAAACGTAATGGGTAAAAGCAGCAGCAGCAGCTACAACAACAACAACAACAACAACAACAACATAAACAACAACAACAATTGCAGTTGATTTTGTGTTTTTTATTTTCCTTTTTGATTGTCACTCGATACGCTTTGTTTTTGTTGCTTTTGCTGGCCTCTTGGCCACACTTCAACGGCGCTGCGGTGCATAATTTGAATTTTTCTAACGCAGCTGCTGCCGCTCGACGCTTTCGCTGCTGCAACACCTCTACCCCTCCCCCGTATGCCATTGGCAGCTTCTACTCTAGCTCTGGCTGTGTAGGAGTTGTTTGGCCGCCTCGGCATGCCCAAGAGTTCATTGCATTTGCTTGATTTTCACTTTCAATTGGCAAAACCGCAACGTAGTTGCAACATCGCTGCGTTTGTGGCAGCTGCTGTCACAACAGGCGACGCATCGCTGCCAGCTTTCCTCCACCCCTCGCCCATCTCTTGACCGGCAAGTTGAGATGCGTCTAAGCTGGCGCCATCTAGCGTTCGGATTGAACCGAGTTCGGTCTTATAATCGTCTGTGCGTTAAGGCCTAAAGATTGTCGTATCAAATGTCTTTATTTTGCGCGTTTCAGACCATAACCAAAATAAGTATTACGCCATATATGGCCATTTTTTACATACATATAAATAGCATTATTTTTTCTTATTTTTTTTTGCCTTTCTTGACATTTAGGCTAATTGACGCAATCTGTTTTAGGCCTAAACGCTAAACTGTTTGTCAGCTGCGAGCTGACATTAGGCCATTTGCCATGTGGAACAAGTGGAACACGCGACAGATAATAATGCCCAAAAAAAAATAAAGAATACCATATTATAACGACTGGGAATTAGAATAGGTAACAATGTCGAAATCTTTGGGCTTGATAAGCAAAATAGTCACCTATTCTTGATGATACTCTCTATTAAAGGCAGCTCTCGTTTAATTTGAAACGTTTCTCGTATTAGACTCTTAATGCGAAGATTTGCTCTGGTTAGCACTCTGAAAGTTTTAAAGAAAGAATCATTTTCTTTTCTGTTATCAAACTATAATAACCATATTTAATTTCCTTGTGATCTTTAGTTCTAGTACCTTATTTCAAGCTCATGTTGCCTGTTAAACATTTAAGAATGCGAAACAAAATGGAATTACATTAAAGTAAGCGAAGCCCTTCACGTGCCTGTTAAACGTTAACGAATGCGAAAGAAAGCAGAACTACAAAAATGAAAAGCTCCCACGTGCCTGTTAAACGTTAACGAATGCGAAAGCAAAGTAGGACCACAAAAATGAAAAGCTCTCACGTGAGAAAGAAACGTTTTTTATCACTTGCCACGTTCTTGAGCACACGCTGAGTGTTGTTTTTTTTTTTAGCATTCATAACTAACCCCTTCACGCCATTAAACAAACTTTATTGACACTGTAAGCCCCATTTATGCAGCTCTCACATTGATCAAACAGCGCTCTAAGCAAGCTCCCCCCCCCCCCCCTCCCCACTCTTACGCACACACACACACACGCATAAAACGCGTCATCCATAAAAAGTTCGCACATAAATAATGTTGACCTTAAAAAAAAAAGCAAAAGAAAAAGGTTGTCATATCACGGCCACCGTGACGAAGCTGGAAAAGCTGCCACATCTCCACATGCGCCTCCTGCTGCCAAGCGTGGACAAGACGCAAGACGCCAGACGCGGCGCCGGCGGATAGGCTGTCAAGGCTGCAAGACGGACGGACGGACGGATGGCGGGGCAAACGGACGGAGGGACTGAGCGACAAAACAACAAGGTGACATAAATATCCAGTTGCTCCGAAAAGGAAACTCAACTTTTCGCCAAGGCAGCAAAGCAAACAGCTTGGGTTAAGAATGAACGACTGGCAGTTACCCTGTAATTAACGCAATGCATAGATATATATTCTGTTGTTCTGAAAAGGAAACTTAAATTTTTGACTAGGCAGCAGAGCGAAGAGCTTGAACGACTTGCAGTTACCCTGTATGCAACACCAACATGCATTTAATAAATATTTATATACAAAACGTATCAAATTTATATATATAAAGATAACTTTGTTTCCAACGTGAATGTTACAGACATGCGCATCATTTGTATAATGCCCTTTATACGCATTTTTAAAGGGTATAAAACAAAGCGTGATATGTGCTGCAGCAGCCGCAGGCATAGACAAAGAGGGGGCAGAGACAGAAAGAATTGGATTCAATAAAAAAAAAAGCTTACCTGCATTGACCAAGTGAGGGCAAGATTCAGATCCCGCTGGAGTTGTTGTTGCTGCTGTTGTTGTTGTTGTTGTTGTTGTTGTTGTTGTTGCTGATTAGTCGGCGCTGCATTGAAATGTGTCAAGTTGTTGTTGTTGTTGTTGTTGGTCGTCGTGTGACGTCGCGCGGGCAGCGCTGGCGGCGGCGTCAAGCAGAGCGACTCCTGTTGCTGCTGCTGCTGCTTGGCCTCAATTTGCGGCGACTTCTTGGGCAATGCCAAAGCGCTGCTCCCATTCCCATTCCCATTGTTGTTGTTGTTCAGCGAAAGCGAACGCGCAAAAGAACTTTTGAAATAGCGACACGGCATCTGGAAATCAAAGTCCGGCGGCGACGCAGGCGTAGACGTCGACGTCGACGCATCTGCAGCGGCCGCTGCGCAGGCTTGCATTGTATTTTGCATTGGTTTTGTGCGCGAACCGGAATTTAAAATTTGATTTTCGTTAGGAATTTGTGTTATTTTTCTTTATTTATTTATTTTTCGTTTTGGTTAGTGCAGCTTTAGTTTGGCATTGTTGTTGTTGTTTTTGCTAATTTGCTTTGATTTCTCGTTTAGTGCATTTTTACACGCACTCTGGCCAGACTCACACACACACAAACACAAAATAAACGCGCGCGCGCGCACACACACACACACATACACTACACTCGTATTGGTTTTTGACAGCTGGTATGTTTTGCCAATTTCACACGCCTTCAAATTCAATTTTTCAATTATTTATTTGGCTGGCACTTTTTAATCAAAATCAATTTCCATGAAATATATAAAAGCGCGCGCACTACAAAAATCGGACACGGACGCGCAAATACATACGTCGCACGCGATCGGCTTTTTGTGAACGAATGAACAACAAGATAAACAAGCAAAGAGCAGAGCAATGCAACTCAGCGGGCTGCACAGCTGTCTGTTAGGTTAACAGTGGTCTGTTATTAACTGCCGCTCAGTTGTGTTCTGTAGATTAGCCGTAGATTCGCTTGTCCAAAACTTGCTGTTCATGTTATTCATTACAAATATTATATTATTTTATTGTCATTTAGTTTCATTAATTTTAATTAGCATCAAAATACTTTAAAAATACATATCTGCTATGCACGTAAGAAGACTTCGCGCCGAGCTTCAAAGAGAGCGGTTGCATATGAAATGCTCGCACTCTGTTATGTTAAAGTGCTGTAATGTTATGCTCAAATGATCTGTTAGCAATAACAGAGAGTGATTTCAGGTATGCAACATAAAATTGTTGAATGTTATCGAACTGAGCCCAAGAGTATGCAACTAGAATATAAACACGCCAAGACTAGAAATACAAATATTTAAATTTTGCATATACGTGATAAGGTTACTTCAAGACAAACAAACCATAAATCGAAGTAAAGCCGCAGCAGCACTTTTATTGTAGCTTCTTTTTTGAACGGTTGCATTCGGTCGATAAGCTGCTAAATGATATTACAGAATGTTAAGAAAATGTTGCAGTGTCATTTCTTGAAAAGAAGACAATTTTTGTGAAATATTCTAAAGTTGGCTACAAATAACAAACAAATCAACATCACTGGCAAATGTGGACATTAATGGGTAAGGGCATTACCAGCGCTTTATCAAATATTCAAAACTAATCCCACTGCCCCAGTTGCCAGTGCGCAAACATAATCCCCGCACAAATCCTGCCGACTTAATGCCACATCTAGATAGGCGGACAGGCGGACAGCTTGCCAATCAAATTGATTGTGCGCCGTTGACTATTTGTTCTATTATTTGACGACCCAAGCAAAGAACTTTACTGAATTCCAATGCCAGTTACAACTTTTTACGCAACATGCTTTTTGTTGGGGGTGAATAAAGGGGTGGGGCTGGCTCTCATCCTGTTGCAACTTGAGCTGGCACTAAAAACTCATTAGTCGATGGGCAATCTCCAAAAATAGCATGATCGAGCGCCAAAATTACTCATCCATCTGAGCAGCGCCAAATGTCGGCTATACACACAGAAATCCCATCAAAATCTCATTTGCGTTTCTATTTTTATTGTGTGCCCACTGTGGCCCCCGTGCGCATGCCTTGTCGTTTCTCAATTACATAAGCCTTATATAACGCGCCAACGGTGCGACCGAGATGACTGCTGTGTGCCGCGCTCGCGCTCTCTGAGCAGTCGGCAGAGTTGATATTCAGTTTGTGTATCGGCTCTCGCTCTCGTTCTCGCCCTCTCTCTTTCTGTTGTGGTTCGTCTCGCCCGCTGGTACATCTTTGTTAGTTGTGTACCACTTGTGGCAACCGTGCTTGGCACACATTCAAAAATAACAACAACACAACTACAGCACTCTCCCGCACTCTCCAAAAAAGGCGACCACGTGACTGCAAGCAGCCCGGCGCAGCAGCAGCGCAGCAGCAGCGCTGCTCTCGTCTGATCGTTGCGCTCATAATTTGATTTTCAATTTACAACTGTTTCGGTTTTGATTTGTTACAAGTGCTTGTTGCTACGCAGTTGTTGTTGCTCTGGGAGCGAAACCGTTTCGTTTTAATTTTTTGCGCATTTGATAATCACCATGTCTGCCGCGAGCAGCACCAGCAGCAGCAGCAACAGTGACGCTGAGAGAGAGCCTGAGAACATTATGGATTTATCAATTAGAGGTGAGTTTGCCTCCCCCAAGCACAAAACTCAACTCATTCAGCTGCTGCTGGCCAATTTCTTTCAATATCCCCCACACAAAACACGTGCGGCGCGCTGCCAGTGTGTGGGCCTGTGTGTGCTTTGTTTACATACCCACACACACACACGCTCGCCTATTGCGTGATTTGGCTGCTGTTTGTGCGTGTGTGTGTGTGCGAGAGCGGGCGCTCTGTGTATGTGTGTGCGTGTGAGTTAAGCCTCCAATCGCCAGACCATGTGACAAATTATTTGACTTTGCCTTCTTTTTTTTTTTATAACACGGCCAATTGCTTTTGTCGAGGCGAATTGAACAAATAACAGTAAACAAATAATGATATGGATGGTATATTAAAATAGAATAGCAGATAAAAAGAGAGGGGCATAGAAAAGAGCGCAACAACAGTTGTCATTATTAATTGCAAAAAAAATAACGATGTTGTAGTAGTACAGTAGACACCCGCTAAAGCTTTTGAGCAGTTTAGTTAAGAAGCTCAAATGCGATCTCTACGCTAAAGCGCCTAAATCGAGTAACTACTGTAGCCTGCAGCTTAACTAGCTCACGGCGAATTAATAAATACATATGTATGTATGTATGTTTTTTTTTGTGTACATTAAAAGAAACATTACAAAAACTAATTAGTTTAGCCCAGATGTCGACTAATTGCTGCATATTATTCTGCTCAAGACCAAACCCCATTCCCCTCCATCCCCTACACTATAAACTTTAGATTGATATAACTCAATGTGATTGATAGACTGCTCCAAGCTGCTCGCTGCGGTTCGGTTCGGTTCGCTTCGGTTTTTATGGCCTTTGATATCAGACTAATTATAGAGACGCCAAAACTCGATAAACAGTATTGGGCAGTTGTTCCTCGAGCTGTTGCCAACAATTGGACTTTTGCCACACATTGATGAAATGCGGCGACGTCGCCACAATCAAAACCCAAAACCCAAAAAAAAATTAAATAAAAAATAAACCAAAAGCCAAACGCATTGTCATCGTTGCCGGCATCGCCAACGTTTTTCTTATCATTATCACAGCCCAGCGACGAGGTTACCACGCGACTATAAATATTTACTCTCATGATTATTTCGTTTCGGGGCGCATAAAAATTTGAGTAGTGGATGATGAAAGCCGTTGCGAGCTATTGAAAGTGGAATGAAGATAGAATTTTAATTAGAAACCTTGCCGTACACACGCATACACCTGCACAACAAGGCACACCATTCATCATTTTGGGGCATGGGCCTTATCAGTTGTAGCTCGGCACAGTCTAGAACTCAAAGTGCAAATCGTGTGAAGCGCATTCGCGTTGTCAACAGAGCCTAAGCAAAAGCTTGCACGAAAAGCTTGCGAGCCAAAGTCGCGCTCTCTCTCTCTCTCGCTTTTGCTGCCTCTCACTTTTGGCAATCAGATCACATGGTCGCACTGGAATATCTGTGACGTGACCGTACGATCCGTTCACTCGGCCTGATAACATCGAGTCGAGCGCGCGTCTTGCTCGTAAATCCACATGGAAAATTTGTCACTTGTTTTGGCTGCAAGTTGCCTGCAGCTGGCTTCGGGTCAAAGATCAGGCTCAGGGGCTCCACACGGACTGCTAATCGCAATAAGCGTGCCATTAAGTACCACAATTGGAGCTATTGCGGTCCACTAATCTATTCGAAATTCGTGTCATTAAAAATAAATGCGACGCCAAAGCAGACGAAGCCTTGGCACGCGTCTGGGCACTTTTGGAAAATTTTAGATTGAATTGAGTCAGGCGTTTATTGGGGTCTGGGGTCAGCCAGAACATAGACTTGGGTACCCTGGCGATTGTTGCCGTTCGCATTTCATTGAATTGTGGCGTGGTACAGTTGCTGCAGAGATGCTAAGCCACAGATTTGAAGAGCTTTTGTCTGTTAATTCTATAAATAAACTAGTTTTATTTGATTAATAGTCGACAAATAAACACAATCTAAGCATTTTGCTGCTATACCCTCTCAAGAATTGTATGCTCAGCTCTTGTCTTCTTCTTCTTCTTACTTAACTGTGCGCATAACCGGCAGCTGATTCCCAGTAATTTCCAACAAGCTCACCAGCTCAGCAAAAAAGAAAAAAAAACACCGCAAGAATTCAGCTGTACTTGATATTTTTTCTGATTTCCCAATTTGATGGGGGGCAGCCCCGACATTCGCCCAGTTTCGACTTGCTTCCAGCCGATATTACGTCAATGTGCAATTACGAACAACAGCAGGGCACACAAAATAGAAGAAGAGGAAAAGAATAAACAAAAACTGCAGCGCCATCAAGTGCGGTAATAAGCGCGCTATCTCGCTCGCACCCAAATGCATACAAATTGCTTGTAATGGAAGCAACCACAGAACAGCACTGAAACAGAAACCGAACTGAGCTAAAATGCGAATGTGAATGCAAATACAATGGCGAGAAGGGAGCTTTAGCCGGCGCCGTAGACAACAACAACATCAACAACGGCATAATTACAATTATGTCATGCACATGTATTACAGTCTGCGCTTTACATTTGCGTATATATGTGTGTGGGTGTAGAGGCGGGGACGAGTTGGGCTTTTAAGAGAGGAGCTTTGACTCGATCAACACGTGCTGCTGCTTTATGATCGTTCATTGCCACGCAGAGAGAGAGCAGAACCCGCTTGACCGGCCCTTCAACAGCCAAGCCTACAAGCAGGCATGCTTGTGTACAAATGTACACATGTATGTAAACATGTACACATGTATGCATGCATGTCTGTTTGTACATGTTTATGTATGTATGTGTAGGCTTGCTTTAATTAGAATGCGCTATAAAATATACAAAACGGTACATTTTGATTAGCAGTCACGCATG